ATGGTGTCTTGCTAGATGAACCAAAGACATCCGCAGGTGTTGAATCAGAAAAGCAGCATTTCCACCCACAGCTGCATGTCACACTGGGGCTCGGGCTGGGTGGGCACAGCACCCCCTCCGCGGGAGCGTTGACTGCCCGGTAGTGCCCTCTGGAGGGCACGTCTGGAGGTTTCACTCCAGAATTAGAACTAATTTACTTCTTAACCTGTGCTGTAAATCTGCTCAACATTGTGCAATCTGTTTTTAAGGCTGGAAATCCTGTGGCTCACGCTGTGTCAGTTTCACAACCAAGTGGAAATCGAGGTTCGTATGGATACGGAGTTACACAGTGCTCTTCACAGTGGCTGATGCAGACACAAGGTTACACCAGTATGCCCAGATAAGCCTTGTACAATGTGACGTAGCACCTGTCTTGCTTTCCCATCTTTCCATTTCTCAGGGCTCCACAGAGGAGCCTCTGGTTACTTTACATCAATGACTTTATGTCTCTTGTATGAGTCTGAACCACTTGGATGCGATTTGGGTTTTTGTTTTTTGCTTTTCTGAGACAGCGTCTTGCTCTATTGCCCAGGCTGGAGTGTAGCGTTGGGCTCACTGCAGCCTCAACCTCCTGGGCCCACGCGATCACCCTACCTCAACCTCCCATGTAATTGGACCACAGGCACATGCCACCATGCCTAGCTAATTTTTGTAGAGACGGGTCTCGCTTTGTTGCCTAGGCTGGTCTCAAACTCCTGGGCTCAAGCAGTCCTCTGCCTCGGCCTCCTGAAGCGCTGGGATCCCAGGCATGAGCTACCACACCCAGCTGTGTAGGATTTTTTTAAACCTACCATTCGTTATTATGGGTATTGTAGCTTAAGGGCATATGAAGTTGGCCCACATGCAAAGAATTATTCACTTGGCTTTTAGTTTTACTTGACATATTTATTTAATACTGCTGAGCTTGTCATAGCACCTTGCTCTGTTTAATACATAGTCAAAGAATCCCCTTCTCAGCCTGACCCAGGTCTCCAGAGTCAAGACCTTGGGCTAAATAGTCACCTCTGTGTAGCCTGCACAATTTTATCTAAGTCGATGAGGAGTCGTTCTTTTTTTGTTTGAAAGGGGAATTAATATGCACTTCTTGCAACTGGAAATAAAAGATGAGTCACATGCAACTTAAATATTTAATAAAACAATTTGCTGCCTTAAATATTGCAGAGCATTACGAAATATACCGATGAGCCCGGCTTTCAGCCCAGCTGTTCACTTCCACAGAGGATAAGTCACTCTCATTACAGAGGACTGGGCTGAAGGGCCTCGGCCCAGGCCTGAGGGCGGCAGTCCCCCCACCCAGCAGGATTATGTGGCTGGATGGGCAGTGGCTGGGAGGGTGCAGGCCAGGCCTCGAGCACAGAACACAGGGACTGAGCTTGAGCTCCTGAGGGCTCCCTGGTGTTGAACGGCTGTGTTACAGGCCTGGTTTCTAATTTTAAGAGTTGAAAAGAAAGTGAATGGCTTTGCAAAACTGCTCTGTCCTTACGTTGTTCATACAAGATGCAAATGCTGATACGAGGAGCCATGGCAGTTTACGGAAGTTCTAGAAATAACAGCGAGAACTGGGGTTTCAGGATGTTCCTGTAGTCTGAAATATTCCGTATGAGAGAAAAGGATGTCCAGGGTGGTCTTCTGCCCTTTCCTGCACCGTGTGCACTGTGGGCCACATTCATTTAAAATGCTGTGTAAGTGTCACTCAGGCAAGGACAAGTTCATTGGACAATTTCTTTTAATTTCAAAATGCACAAGGTGCCAATAATCTGTTCCAAATGTCGGCATAACGTGCTGCCGTATCCCCATTACAAAACGGATTCCGTGAGAAGTTGGCGTAAGCCCTCTGTGA